ATTCAAAGATCGTTCCAGCACTCGGCAACAATGAGCAGACAAATGAGAAGAAGCTCGTCGCATTTCTTAAACAACTTATAAGCTGTAAAAATGGTGATACAACTGCGCGTGTAACGCTAACGCATACCATCCCTAATTCAAAGATCGTTCCAGCACTCGGCAACAATGAGCAGACAAATGAGAAGAAGCTCGTCGCATTTCTTAAACAACTTATAAGCTGTAAAAATGGTGATACAACTGCGCGTGTAACGCTAACGCATACCATCCCTAATTCAAAGATCGTTCCAGCACTCGGCAACAATGAGCAGACAAATGAGAAGAAGCTCGTCGCATTTCTTAAACAACTTATAAGCTGTAAAAATGGTGATACAACTGCGCGTGTAACGCTAACGCATACCATCCCTAATTCAAAGATCGTTCCAGCACTCGGCAACAATGAGCAGACAAATGAGAAGAAGCTCGTCGCATTTCTTAAACAACTTATAAGCTGTAAAAATGGTGATACAACTGCGCGTGTAACGCTAACGCATACCATCCCTAATTCAAAGATCGTTCCAGCACTCGGCAACAATGAGCAGACAAATGAGAAGAAGCTCGTCGCGGCACCGACAATATGTCCGAATAGGGAAGTCGGCATTGTTTACGGTAACGAAGCGCGTGCCACCGTGAATAGAAAGAAAAGCCGGCGTTTCGATATTAGCGGCCGACGTTGCGTGAGAACGTTGCCGAGAAAAACCAACAACGATCCAACTGATAGGGGGACACGCGTCCTCCCTGTCGACAGCGCCACGCTAATCGCTGCGTCTATCCGCCACGAGCTGTTGACCATGGCGATTGAATGAACGTCTCCGTTTACCGAGCAGCTCTCTGCGAAACGACCCTGGACAAGGTCCAACGAGAATTAATCCTCAACCTTGGGCGAAGAGTGCTCCATAATGGACGGAACAGGGAAACTCGTGGGACATGACCATCTACTTCCACCTAATTTTACAGATACCCAACGGGCAAAAATTGTTGGATTTATGGCAGGGGAAACCAAGTAACACCTCCGTTAACGACGACAAACATTTGACGAAGCAATTATAACATCAATCGCCGAACACGCGAATAGCAATAACATGAAATCAATAAGCCGCGTCCTACTATCCATATTCGCCTACGACTTTTCGTGCGTTCACCAGAGCTTCTCACATCTCGCGCCATACGTTCTCGCTGTACATTTTTTCATATTTACCGTTTACATTCGAGCCGTGTTTACGATAAAGCAATCTCGCATAAAAATGATG